AGGCCTGGACCCAGCACAGTTGCCTGGACCCAGAGCCCGACACACGAGCCCCGCTCCCGGCTCCTCCCTGCGAGCGGAGAGCACCCCGGAACGTCGCGTGTCCGCCGAGTCAGGGAGAACAGACAAGGCACTGCCCGTGTGGCCTGCGCACCGACCAGCGGACCCTCGTGCCTGAGAGCCACGGCCGTGACCTGGCTGTGACCAGGGCTGCCCCAGTGGTGGGAGCAGAGCCCCCAGGAGTGCGGGCACCAGGCCACGGCTCACCCATGCTCTTGCAGGGCCTTCCTGCTCCGTGGAGCCCGGGGAGCCGAAAACCACGTTTCCCAGATCCCTCTGCGGGAAGGGCTCAGGCGGCAGGGCGCGCTCCACACGCAGAGTGGAGCCGGAGCGTGAGGGGCCTGCAGGGTCTGCGCCCACGTGCCGGGGCCTGGGACCGGGCCGGGGGCCACTCCTGGTGACCCCACCCCTCCAGCGCGGCCAGCGGCGGTGGGCCCCAATTCCTGCACTCAGTCTCCTTCCCCTACGGCAGCCCCCTCCCTTTCTGCTTCTGCACCGAGCCTGCCTGGGACGGGGCAGATGACCAGGTGTTATACCTCCAGGCCTGTAAAGGAATGGACTCAGGGGAGGTCAGTTCTAAGGCAGAAAGGAGGCACCTGAGAAAGGATTTGGAAACACAAAGTTGAGTTCCAGGTGCCATGTGCCAAGATGGCAGCATGAGGAGCCTGGACAGCAGAGGCACAAAGGCGGAGCTCAGATATAGGAGGGCAGGATGGATGGATGGACAAACGGAGGGACAGATGGATGCACAGATGGCTGGATAGACGGATGGACGGATGGACGGATGGATGTTTGGATGGACAGACAGACAGATGGATAGATGAGTAACACCTACATTAATGGTGAATATCAAGAAGCAGATGCACCAGAGACAAATTTTACAACTGACCAGCTAAGTAGTCAAACATTTCAGCTGCCAATGGCAACGCCCCCACCAACCCCACGAGGACGACCTCCCTGCCTCCTGCAAAAGGTGTTTCCACAACCAGCCCTGAAAGCCAGCTGTTCTGTGCTCCTCTGGACACAGGATAACAATACTGGAGCGCCCCAGCAGCCGGGGTCCCGTCGGCCCTCACTTCACAGCGGCAGGACACGAGACGCCAAAGTAGCCATCCAGAATGACCGCAGTGCGCCACGTGCCCAGGGCAGCCATGGACTTGACCACAGTGGGCCCCTGTGACCCCGTGTGTGGAACCAGAGATGGCAGGACTAAAACCGTGCCAGTGAGCCTGGGAAGCCAGCACACAGCCCTGCTGAGAAGGCTCCAGCTTGGGGACACGGCCGGGCAGCATCGCTGCGCCTGCCCAATGCCCCACTCCCCTCCCCGGAACCAGCAGAGATGTGGGGGCTGGCGCGGGCAGCCAGCACCTAGGAGGGCAGATGGAATTAGGCAATTGCTTTCAGCAGGAATTTAAATTGGCGGTCAGCTGGCCTGGGAACACCGCTCCAGAGGTGCTCAGAGCAAAGAAGGGGCCCCCGGGGGTGGGGTGCCAGCATCCCCAGGCTTGAGGGCCCATCTCTGACTCAGCAGCCCCCGCTTGGCAGCTGGAGCCCCTCACGGAAGGAAGCACCTCTGCCGACAATGTCTGCTCTCAGGAGGGGATGGAGGAGGGGAAGCAGGGCGAGGGCCTGGGGTCACCACCCTGAGCTGCAATGGAATCAGGATGCTGCTGACCAAGGCCGCCAGGGCGCTCTCGCCAAGTGCTGACGTCAGCGCCTCATCTCCCCAGCCCTTCCCAGCCCCCCGAGACCGGTGCGGGGCCTTCAGAACAGAAGTGACCCAGCCACAGACCTGCCTGAGCCCCGAGGTCCCGGGGGGGGCACCAGGCAGCAGCAGGACGCGGGGCTGCGCCGCCAGTGCGGGCGGGGCTTGGTCGTCAGCGGTGCGGGAGCTGTGCACACGCCGGGCACTCAGCCACGTTTGCTGAGTGACTGAGTGAGGGAACCACAGCTCTCACACACGCCAGGTGGCAGGGGCAGGTGGGCAACGGCAACAGCACAACTCCTACCTCACCTCGGCGCCTGCCCTACGGTCACGGTACCACATCGGGCTTAAGCAGCTGTAGGCAGGGGACACACGGCCGTTCCACCTGCTGGGGAGGGACGGGGCCGAGGACCCGAGGGTCAGGGCCTGCACGAGGCGCTCTGGGCTGGCATCCACTCTCGCTCGAATTCCACTTCCGTTTTTGCCTTTCACCAAACCAGCTACAAACGTCCTTAAATACTTGCTGTTGGTGAAGCCCACCCGGCGGCCCAGGGCGGCCCTGCGCGGGCTGTGTCTCCTCACTGCCCCCACCCTAGGGGCCCCAGCAGGACTCTGAGCTTCACCAGCACCTGCTCACCACGCGCCTTTGGATCCCACTCGTGACGGAGTCCCATCGGAGGTGGCCTCTTCTTCCAGCCCCCGAGCCCCGCCCATGGTCACCTGGACGGCCCCCCACCTGCCGTCGCTGGTCCAGAGGGCCCTGTGACACATGCACAGCACGCTCGGGTTCCAGGCAGCACCGCGGGGTGAAGCAAGGCAGGTGGCCGAGCCCCCAGCACCCAGCAGG